GGGGGGGGGAGAAGGGGAAGGGGAAGAAGAAGAGAAAAAAAATTAGTCAGGCCTCCCCCCTCTATATCCTGCATCATTATTTCATAGGTGAGAAAAATTATCTATAAAGGGCCAGGAGGGAGAAATATTTTACAGTTTCCTCTGCCTATTTTGATTATGGACACATGGACAGTGCAGAAATCGCCCCCAATCCATGTAGAAACCTCCAATCTGCAGAAGTCCCACCAGAAATTCACCACCACTTGTCAAGAGCTCACGGTCTCTGCATAGGCACCTGCGCTGCCTTCCCAGACCTCGGTTCCTCCTGTGTGCTGTAACTATGCCGCCAAAGAAAGGTTTCAGGTCCTCAATCCAACCAAATGGATTTCCAATCTAATGCCTGCTAATTGCAGGATAACGACAATCTTAGTCCTTTCACAGGCATCTCTAAACCTCTCTAGGAAATAGGCCATTACAATACTGAACCACTTTCTGGGAAGTGGAGGACCTTGAATAAAAGTGTTTGACTCCTCAGGTTTTCGGATACCCTTGAAATGTTAGCGTTGCAGCCCCACTACCACCTGGACCTGCTGAAAGATTTCATGCCATTAACAAAGGACATTTGCTTGCTGTTCAGAACATTTCCTTGTCAGCCAAAAGTTTATGCTGAAAAACTTTTTTTTTTAATAAGTTGTTGGATTCTGGGGGGGGGTCTTATCCTGTTAAACTGTAAATTTTATTACAGCTTCAATTAAAAAATAGAACAGTCTTTAACTTAAATAAACTTCCATAAACAGCAGAACTTGTGATGAAGGCTTCCTATGGTCCTCCTATGGTTCTTGCTCCTACACTGACTCCCATGCCAAAAAAAGGGACTGAGGTATTTTCTAACCTGTTCATCAGCGAGAGCATTTGAGGGTCTCTCTCTGTGAATCACCTGTTTTTGCAAAACATGTAGAAAATGTATCACATAAAAAGGGTCAAAGACACTAATTTAGCTAAAACAATGCTTAGGACTACTGAAAACAGAAGCAGCAAAGAATAATAACAAGTAAACATTTGTTTTCTTAGGATCCCAGGCTATTTCACATAGCTGCTCCATTAGACACATTGTTTCTACAACAAATTCAACTTATAATACTCTTCATATTTTCAGTCTGAAACTCAAAATCTTTTTATAGTGTCAGATACTTACAATGAAGACATATGTTGCTAATGTCAGAGGAGAAACTAGAAGATTTACTGTGTGGAGGATATCTGATGTATTTTATTGTGTCTATGAGACAACTGAAGTGAGGTAGAAAGTGTTAATGTTCAGATGTTTCATGAGTATAATTTCAGGTTGTCTACTGACTTGAACAGGTATTTCTTTATATCAAAGTTATTTCTACAATAGCAGAAACTAAACTTAAACGGAAGGCTGTGTGAAGAGAATTTTAAAGGAGAAAGGGATTTATTTCCAGCAAATTACATAGTAACCAAATATAAACCTGACAAAAGGAAAATAACAGCAAAGCATAATAATTAGAACACCTGGATAGCCACGGGCGTGACAGAAGCTGTATTGGCTTCGGACTGTGAGCAGAGTGAAAGTAGTATGCATTTTGGCTACTCTGCCTCTTTTTTTCAAAACCCATGCATGAGAATTTTTTCAGTGAAAAATTTTCTACTGATTTTGATGGTTCTTAAGTAATAAATTATTTGGGAATAGGAGCGCTTGTCTGAACTGGACTTAGCAGAACTGATCCCAGTATTTGCAGTACTATGTCAGCTTTTGCAATAATGAAGTCTCCCGACCAAAATGCACACTTTCTACTTAGAATAAAACACTGCCAGTCACAAATTTAAGGTCTCTCTAAACATATTTCCAGAACTGGAAACACTTCAAGATGATTTAATTTCATTTAAGAAATAATTTTCTGAGATTTAAACCTCAGAAACTGAGCCTATCTTTGATATACTATACATGTAACTGTGTGATCTAAACATGCAGATATAAGCAGACTGTACAAACCGAATACAAAATCAAGATTCTCACGCTGTGTGTTCTCCTGAAGTACAGAGAACAAACAAGTGTTTCTAAAAATTAATTAAATCTTTTAGTTCCTTATTAATGCTTCCATGTGCTTGTTGTAGCCTTTCCCTG